GGGAAAGAGAGAAAGACCTTTAAGTTGTGAATTAGAATCCTCCATTCCTATAGGCACACCTTACACTAAGGTATCTCTACAGTTCTGACCACCCACTTAATAAAGGTCACTGAATTAGTTCAGTGTGTGCTGCTCAGCCATAGAAGTTCATTGCCCAGGATATTAATATAGAATCAATAGCAACCTGAGGCAGAAGGGAGAGCAGAAAAACTCTAACCTCTTCAGGTGTTATATCTGCATTTGACAGGAGCTATACATGAGTCCTATGTCTATGCTGTGTTATGGGTGGCCTCAAGACCATAATATTTCTATCGTGATGCTAAAAACCTGGTGTCAGGAGACCATCCCATAAATCATAGTTAAGCGTGATCAATGCCTAATATCACTTCGTAGGCATGCTTAGTGCACTGGGGGTATGTTATGCAGGTGGTGGTCTGAGACAGCTCAACAGAAGGAAGAAGGGCATGGCATTTCCATGAGCCTATCTTTCAAATCACATAACTGAATAAATGCAAGTTAGGTAAGTTCAAGGGTTCATCTGAAACAATCTCACACACACAAGGCTGTACTGTAAGTCAGTAATTCAAAGCTCTGAGCAGATATAATAGCACTGAACTTACTGCTGTAGCAGACTTTCCAAGGACCAGATTAAGGTAATTTGGTAGTCAAGGAACAATGAGAGGTAAACATCCTAGTTCTATCTCGTTTATAGTTTTTGACCTACCCCTAACTTTGAACATCTCTCACTTTCCTAAGAGCAGAAAACCGATCCTTTCTTTTGCAAAAAGACACGAGGAAAAGAAGCAGGAATTAAGGCTGTAGCTCAGTCCAGATAATCCAAATGACGTGCATCGACCCTGTTGTTCTGTTCCCTCCCTGCCACACACCAAGTCATCTCCAGCATTTGCCATACTAGATGAAGAGAAGATCCGTGGCCTCATAGCTACTAGTTTAGACTTTCTAAAGACTCCAGTAAACAATGAAGTATGGTTATGCAAGGATATAATTTCTAGCTTTTCTCTGCAGCCATAATGACTAGAAATTCACAATAAAAATAAATAAATGAATCAGAGATTTTATTTAAATATAATCTCTTGATCTCACAGGGAGCTGACTTGTATTGGTCACTAGGTAAATCAGAGCACAAAACCAATTCCTTCACCCAAATGATTTAATACCATAATTTTAAAGAAGATGAAAAATGTCATTTTGGAAAAATAAAGCCTTTTATGTGTTTTTTTAATTTATTCAAAGACGGGGTTCTATAATGAAGGAAACCCCCATTTTGTAACAATTTGTTGTCATATTCAGCTATAGCTCTGTTTATAGACAACCTCTGACAAAAATGACCTTGTTTACAGCATTTAAACAATGTTTTCACCATATCAGTTTTATCTATCAATTTCCAGTTGAATAATGTAAATTGACAACTGAAAGTAACAGCTGATAATTGCAGGAGTAATTCTTGGTCAAGTATGACTACCAAAGCAGTAAGACTGCCATTATCTCCAGAGAATGCAACGCCACCCTGTCCAGAAACAGCAAGGTTTCTTTGTCAGAATAAGCACTTGGGCTCTTCAATTTTCCTAAGAATAGAGCTCATTATTTTCATATATAGATGCTGTTTATAAAGATAGATAAATATTATTACTCCCATTTTGCAGAAAGGTTAACTGAGATCATGACTTCCTCAAAGACCAGCTTCAGTGGGACGTTGGACAAAACCTAATTCAAGCCATTATTGCTTCTCTTGAAGTAGGTGAATTTTTAAAACATTCTGAAAAGGTAGAGTTCGAGAAATAACATCAGGCTTCATATGCTTCAGCTGTTAAAGTTATGTGGTACTTTAATGCTTATTCAAACTAAACATTAAGGTCATTAGAAGAATCTGTTGAAAAAACTGTTATGAAGCAGAAAACTGTTGTGCCTATCAAACTATTACCCTTTACTGTTTCAGATGTAACATTAACTGGAATGGAATAAACAGAGTGGAAAACCTCTTGCTTAACTGACATTTGAAAGTCAAAGACAATGGCTCTAAAAGGAAATATATTGCTTGGATTCCAGGGGACTAGACAAAAATATGAAAAAAGAACAATTAAGACGACAGACCTAGTATACTTCTATTGAAACTTCTTTTCTTTTTTTTTTTTTTTTTTTTTTTTGAGAAATTTAAATAGTACACAGTAAATTAGATTTGATTTCTGGCAAATTATGCTTTGATACTGCATTCAGCAAGCGCCGGCTTCAATCAATGTCACACTAAAGCTCTGTTATGCTAATAGCCGCTTGTGAGGCTGAGCGGGATGATATGGAAATCAGATGGTTGAACATGAATAGAAAGCATAGGCCATGTACGAGGGGGCGTTGAGATGAGGGGATGGGGGGACCCTAAGGTTAATCACATCATGTTCAGAACTGTTTTTACAGCACAGAAGAATATTTTGCTGCAAGAATTAAAATGGAGATAGAAAAGCATGAGCAGCAGTGAACATTAGTTATGTTGTTCAAAATGGGAAGAGTGTATTCTGTTGCACTTTTTCTAGATGTCATTTTACGCATGACTGAATGGATCTTTTCTATTAATAAACGTATATGAAGGTAGCCTCTGCTCAAGTGTTAAAGAGCTTTAGAAAAAAAAAAGGAAGAAACAAATACTGCAAATTATTTCAAAGGGATTTCTAACTCTTCTCCAATCTTAAAAGCAGAATCTCTAATCTGATGGGATGGATTGCATTCATTTCTTTCCCAGTACTGAATACTAAAGGTTACGCTGAGTCACCAGGAGCTGATAAAGCTGCTGATGTAGAGAAGCTTGACTGAGACAGTGAGTTCATCCCTTCTAGGTGAACTCTGGTCACCTGATAAGAAACGTGGCAGAAGACTCAGAAGGGGAGGGGAAAATTATCACAGGAAAATGTGAATTTATAGCAAAAAGTACAC